CAGCCTGGCCTTTGCCCTCTCACAGTCTGGGAGCCCTCAGGGGATGTCCAACTGATGGCTGACAGTCAGACATTCTTAGTGCTGCCATGAAAGCAGGAGAGGCTCCTGTTACTCCTGCTGCACTCACCAGCTGTGAGTCTGGCTTCTGGCTGAGTGGTGCTCCCCCTGTGGGAACACACTGACTCCACTTACAGCAACTGTCTGTGCTTCCTGGACTTGTAAGTCTTTCTGAACTATTTCTTTCACCAGGTAGGGGAAGTTCTTTTATCAATATTTCTTCAAATAGGTTTTCAATATCTTGCTCTCTCTCTTCACCTTCTGCCATCCCCATAATGTGAATATTGGTATGCTTGATACCAATTGGTATGTTTGAAATTGTCCCAGAGGCTCCTTACATTATCTTCATATTTTTGGATTCTTTTTTTCATTCTGCTCTTCTGTTTGGGTTTTTTTTTTTCTTCCTCATATTTCAAATTGTTGATTGAATTATCCACTCTACTATTAAATCCTTGCAAGTCTCACAAAGTCCCTTGAAGCTCTCATTAATTCCTGTGAAGCTCTTCTTAAGATTCTTGACCATCCTCATAAACATAATTTTCAACTGTGTACCTAGTAGTTTGCTTGCTTCCATTTCATTTAGCTCTTTTGTTGGAGATTTCACCTGTTCTTTCATTTGTGACAGTTTCTTTGTTTCTGTATTTTCGCTGCTTCCCTGTGTTTGTTTCAATGCATTAGGTAGCAGTGTTATGACTCCTGGAATTGGTAGAGTGGCCTTGTGTAGTAGGACCCAATGTCTCAGCCTGCCTAGTCTCCAGAGTGGGCACTCTAAGTGCAAACCTTTGTGGGTTATTATGCACAGCCTTGCTGTAGTTGAGACTTGATTGTTGTTGGTGTCATTGGGAACAATTGACCTCCAAGTCAATTGGCTGTGAGGAACCAGCTGTGTCTATAGTGAAGAGCTGCTAAGAAGATTTCCCTATGGAGCAGTATTTGTTTCAGTGAGGCTTTGAATGTGTCTCTTGTGGATGTGTAGAGTTGTAATCTGGTTTGGTCTGAAGCTGTCCACCAGGTGCACTGGCTCTGGGGCCTCCCAGGAGGTGCAAAGTCAGCCGCTACCATAGCCATCTGGCAAGAGCTACAGAGCCCTTTGCAGATGGCTGCTGCCTGTACTGGGTCTGAAAGTGTCGAGGCAAGGCTGAGCTGTGAAGGAAAGAAGGCTGCTGCCAGTGCTGGGTCTGGACTCTCTTATTGATAGGTATGGGGCACACTGATGCCAACTACTACTTGTTTGAGAGATTTTAGAAAAATCTGAAGACTGATCCAGGACAGGCCATTCATATGGACAATTTGGGTGGGTCTGAAAATTGGATGGGGCCAACGAGAAATACCAAATTTCCCGTTGGCTCCATCCAATCATCATCCTGGTGATTTCCGGAGACCAAATAAGGTCTCCAGGAATCACCAGGGTGGGGTGGACAGTATGAGTCAGGCTGATGGAGACTCAGATATGGCTGCCAGACAGCTAGCTCTGCAACAGGAGGTTACAGCATAAGAACAATGACCCTATTTGGGAGAAAGCTGTCTCCAAGTTCTTTCCCTGATGCCAGACAATCCAGTTCATCCCGAGTATCCCAGGTTCCTTTTAAACCACTGCCCCAGGGCTGGAGCACAGAGGGAGCAAGTCTGACTAAGACCCTGTGCTGGCCCTTTATGAGGAACTGCTGGGTCTCCAGCAGCCTCAGTGTTATTCAGCCACAATCCCCGGTGGTTTTTAAAGCCTAAAGTTACAGGGACCTCTCTTCCCATCTCTGTAACCTGAGGTGGGGGCCTGGGGTGGGGCTGGAAACCCTGTGGCCTCCGCAGTGGAGATAGCCCTCCTGGTTAAAATCATGATGCAGGTGGGTGTTAGACCAGCTCCTTCTGCACCTCTGTCCCTCCTACCAGACTCAGCATTCTTTCTTCTTTGCTTCTCTATTTGTAGGACTTCCATTCAGCCCGATTTCAGGTGCTTCTGAGTGATGGTTGTTCTGTATGTTAGTTGTAATTTTGATGTGGTTGTGGGAGTTAGCAAGTATCGCCATCTTGGTTATCCCAATATATTTTTAAAAGTCCTACAACTCAATAATGAAGAGACAAGCATCCCAGTTTCAAAAATAAACAAAATATTTAAATAGTTTGTCAAAGCAGTTATATGAATGGCCAATAAAGACATGAAAAGTATGCAATGTCATTATACATCAGGAAAATACAAACTATGAGACACCTCTACCCTCCACCAGGAAGGCAAAAATTAGTCTGTTGATACTGCTAGGATGTGAAGCCACTGTTTGGTGAGACTATAAAATGGTATGATAAAATTAGAAATATGTCTGCCATTTGTTTGCTCAAATAAGTCCAACACACATCTGTTCTATATGATTCATCAGTTGTACTCCTATGAATTTACCTTAAAGAAGGAAAACATATTTTCACAAAAGGTATGTGTAAGAATGTTCATAACAGCATTATCTATATTAGCCAAATAATTATTGGGAACAGATAGGTAATTTTTTTTTTCTTGACTTCTTGCTTTCTCTTGCATCCCACAAGTAATTTATTACCATATCTTGTTAACTTTACCTTCAAAATGTGTTCAGAATCCAATCACTTACAACTTTCACTGCCAAAAGCATATATATAGATAGATAGTATGCTATATTACATTTATGTTTTAATGCATATACTAACAAAAAAGAATTTTAGATTCAAAAATAGTAATTAAAGATTATATATACTCTTTCCTCTTGAAATATCTGGTTATTAGACTATACTCTCTATTACTTTATAGGAAATATTATCAAATAACTATATTCTATTTTCCAATTTAAAAACAATGTTTCATTTTAGGTTTGTTTTTTTTTAATTTAAACCTTCATCATGCTATTGTGATATGTAGAAAACAGAAGGAAGAAATATTCAAATGTTTGGGTTTGTGGAGTTTTGTTTTTTGCATTTATAGCTCACATTTTTCTTTTTCTTTTTTTTTCTTTTTTTTTCTTTTTATTTATTTATTTATTTATTTATTTATTTATTTTTACATATTTTATTGATTTTCCCCCCCTCCCTCCCTTCCACACATCCCCAACCAGAAAATTAATGACCTCTATTATATTTACACTATGGAATATTGCTCAGTGACAAAAATGAATGAACTACTGAAAAAAAAGCAGTTACATTAATGAATCTTATTCTTTCTGATAAAAGAAGCCTTATGGAAAAAGAGTATAACACTTGTGAGTTTTATTTATAGGAATTTCTATTACAGGCAATATTAACCTATGGTGAAATCAGAAAAAAATGTATCCCTGAGGGACTGAAGTGAGGATCCACTAGAAAGGGCATGAGAGGAGTTTCTGGGGTTGAGGTTCTTGTTTATCTTGTATGTGGTTTGGATTACAAAAACTATTCATTTGTCAAAATATATGTACAGTTAAGCAGATATATAGTTAAGATTTGTCCATTTTAATGTATCTAATTTTATCTCAAATAAGAACTATAAACAAGTATTGTATTCTAGTAAATGCTAAAGCATTTTAGTGGAAGTGTGCTGATATTTCCAATCTCTTTTGCAATGCATCCAACGATTAGATGCATTGATAAAATATAAATTACATATGTATTATATATAAATGTATGGAGATGTATACATTTAAATTAATATGTTATATAGTATAGATTGCATATGTATGCCTCATTTTTTATGTATACTTGTCAGTAAGTCTCTTTTTGAGCCATAAATCCATTATTTCACTCTGCCCTTTGATGCTGTAGGTACACTTTTTTTTTTTTTTTTTTTTTTTTTTTTTTAGCCAGCTCCATATAAGATTCTACTATTAAAGCACAGGGCTTGGGGAAGAAATTTGGTCTTTCTTGTTGGCTTTCTGTCTGCTTGTAGTTCCTATGAGTGACATCCCAGCAACACTTTTTTTGGCAGCAACACTTTCTTCCCTTAGCAGCAGCCAAACACAGTTTGCAGATTGTCCAACAGCTTTCAGAATCAGCCTCCTCACAGCCTCTCAGAGCTTGCCAGAAGAGATGGCTGGAGCCCCTCAGAAACCTAGGTTCAGTCCCAGAGGACTTCTCTCATGCTGGATTGTGCCTTCTCCTCAGAAGTTTGGTTTTCAGCCTCCCAGGACCTCTCCTCCAAGTTTATAAGTATTAGTAATTGTAAACTCTTGCTTTTGTTCCCTTAGTCCTAGGGCTGGTTACTGCTTTTTGCTGTTGCTACCTGACACCTTAGAATTTTTCTACCCTTTCTATATAGTATGATTTGTTTTCTGACTATACCTTGAGCAGATACGTAGCTCTATATTGTGTTCATATACCATAGTTTATGCAGTCTCCTATTTAAGAGCAATTGATTTCAATACACTTCCACCACAGACAATATTAACAACAAACTTGTATATACCTTTTCTTCTTATTGTTGGCGATATATATTTCAAGTCTGTTCCTGGAAGTAGGATTGCTGAATCAAACAGTATATGCATAAGTAATTTTGTTATACATTACAAGATTCTCTATTACAGTGTGCCATTTTGCATCCTACAAGCAATGAATTAAATTTCCTTTTGTCTATAGCCTTGCTAACAGAATGCGTGGTTAAGCTTTTTTATTTTTTCAGTGTGATAGGTAAGAAAAATATCTCTGTCATTTTAATTTGCATTTATTTCATGTGTGACAATGAGAAACTTTCATGTATTTATGGACCATACATATATCTTGCTTTTGTGAACTGTCTGCATTTTGAGAGGACTTCAGATGTAGATGAGATTGGAGCATAAATATTATGTTGGGAGAAACTGCCATTTCCAGGCATTCAGCATCATGTTGACATCAGATGAGTCTCCTCTTTCAAATCACATGGTTTTCTTTATGTTCTTAACTTTCCTTTATTTCTAATATTTGCTTTACAGTTTGTTCAGTTTTAAGCATAGTTTGTTTCCTATTGCTACTTCTAGGTAAAATATCATCTACGTTTTGTTAGGAAACAAAGGACTTTTCTACCTACACAAGCAGGCTGGAAAACAGAATTTCTCTTTCCTAATCTCCCCACTTTTAGACCCAGGAACCCAGAAGACAATGATGGAGGGAGTCCTGGTGAGTAGATATTTAAGCAAACTTATTTTTTTTATCCCATTTGAGATACACACACACACACACACACACACACACACACATACACACATATACAGACACACACACACGATTTTATTTGTGTATATACATAAACAACTATCCTATATAATAAAAGCTTAATATGCTAAGTGTCTGCTCATCCAGTCATCTGTTTAACCAATCAAAGTGTAATCTGCTAATAATATTCTAAGGCTACTCAACCACTTGCTATGATGGGCATTGACCATGCGGGGGCAGATGTTCTGACCAGTAGGTTAGCTTGCTGCTGGGGTCTGGCCAATTGGGACTGAGCAGGATGGGCCAGACTTGCCCTGGAGCCCTCCTGTGGTCCCGTCCCAGCTGGCCACCTCCCGCATCCTTCTCCAGCCCTGATCACGCCCTGGTGGGTCCCTCAGCCTGGCCTGTGCTCTCTCGCAGTCCGGGCTGAGGGACACCTCCATGAGTGCACGTATTGTGTGCACTGGACCTCTAGTCCGTAATAAGTTTGTTTATTCTTGTGGTAATTTTAAAAATTAAACTTATATTCTATGAAGACCACTTTTCAATCCCATATATTAGACAAACTTAAAAAATATACATAATATATCTATACCATGCTTTATTCTCTTTAGATTCTTACAGCAGTATATCTATCTTTATATAGTTGTGGTTTAGTATTATGCTTTACAAATACACATATTTTCATTTGTTGGCATTGCTTGCCTATTTATGTCTATATATAATTTTATTGATTTGATCTACAAGTTTTTACATTGTGATGGTAATTTTTAAGTCAAATTTTTCACTTGGTATATTATCATATGTGAAAAACCCTTAATGAAAAAGTTACATTTGCTAGATATCTTGAGATTATATCTTTGACAAATATTAAATAGAAGGGAAAACTACACACATTCTAGTATTAGCAACAAAAATTAGAAACAGCATAACTAGTAAGAGAATAGACAAACCTGTTAGGCAGTCATTAAAAATAATCTTTTGTGGTGTAATCTGTTGAGAAAAAAAGTATTTAAGTTGAATCTATAGGAGCCTGCATAACTAGCTAAATTCAGATGTATAGGGTTATTCCAGGCAATGGAAGTAAACTCATGAACACATGTAGGACAGGAAGCCACATTCAGGGAGTTACATGGCCTTCTGTTTATTTTTTAATAGCTAGCATGGAGGGTGCCCATGGGAGACTATTAGAGATGAAGCTAAACAGAAAATAGGTCATTAAAGATCTAGTTTGTAAAATGAAAAAGTGAAATTTCTCCTGGAAGTTATGAGAGAGAATCAGAACAATATTTAGCATGAATAAAAGAAATGATATGATGTGATAGTGGATGCATCTCTCCAAGTTTTTATTTGTACCTAAACACAAAACAACTTGAAATGAGAACAGGCATATAGATCAATGGAACATAACAGAGAATCCATAAATCAATCCACATCTTTATTATCAATTAATATTTGACAAAGGAGGCAAGAGCATTCATATATCTCAAAGGGCAAGGGAAACAAAGGGAAAAAGTGAACAAATGGGACTCCATCAAACTAAGAAGTTTCTGCACAGCACAAGAAACCGTGAACAAAACAAAAAGACAACCAACAAAAAAGGAGAAAATATTTACTAACAATAGTTCTGACAAGGGTTTAATATCCAAAATGTATAAAGACCTCATACAACTCAAATAATCCAATTAAAAAATGGGAAGAGGACCTGAACAGGGTGACATACAAATGCCCAACAGGTATATGTAAAGATACTCAACATTAATAGCTATTAGGGAGAAGCAAATAAAAACTACAATGAGCCCTAGCTGCTTTGGCTCAGTAGAGACAGTCTCACTCTGTGGACTGAAGGGTCCTGGCTTTACTCCTGGTCAAAGGCACCTACCTCAGATATGCAGGCTCAGTCCCAAGCCATGCAGGAGAAAACCTGTAGATATATGTCTCTCACATCCATGTTTCTCTCTATCTCTCCCCCTCCCTTCCACTCTCTCTAAAATTCAGTGGAGAAAATATCCTTGAGTGAGGATTAACAAAAAACTACAATGAGATATTACCTCACACTTTTAGAATGGCTATTATAAACTAGTGACCCAGTGCATGGATTCATGCACATTGAAAGGAAATTAATTAGAAGGCGGCCATGGGGCAAGATGGGCAAGATGGGGCCAGACATGCGCTGTAACCAACCTCCCATGGTCCCTTCCCAACTGGCAGCACCTGCTATGGCTTGAAGTACATCTATGGAGTTAGTGGGGTCCCTCTGGCAGATGGGGTCCTTTGGCCTGGCCTGCAGAGATCAAGTTGAAACTGGCTCTATGACATCCCCCAAGGGATCCGAGAGTGTGAGAAAGGACTCTGCAAAGTTGCTGTCATACACGGTGTGAAATACAAATGCAAGTGAGCAGTAGACCAGATTCAGGGCCTAAAGTGCCCCAGCAACAACATAACCCATGGCCGAAGGTGGAATCTGTGGCTCCAGTGAGGAATTGGGTTCCCTCCTCTCTGTTTTTGAGGTGCATTACTGAAGAATCACCACTGCCAAGTCACTGCAGCTCAGCAGCTCCTGTGTTGAGCATCTGCCCCGTGGTGGTCAGTGTGTGTCATAGTGATCGGTCGAATGGTCAGACACTTAGCATATTAGCCTGTTATATATATAGACTGGAGTCTTAAACGTAAGACGGGAAACCATAAAAATACTAGAGGCATCCACAGCCAGCAAAATCTCAGACATATGCCAGAAGAACTTCTTCACTGATACTGCCCCTAGGGCAATGGAAGCTAAAGAGAAAATAAACAAATGGGACTACATCAAAATAAAAAGCTTTTTTACAGCAAAAGAAACTATCAACAAAACAACAAGAAAGCCCACTGTATGGGAGAACATATTTGCAAATGTTACCACTGATAAAGGTTTAATCTCCAACATCTACAGACAGCTTATACAACTTAATAAAAGGAAGATGAATAATCCAATTAAAAAATGGGCAATTGACCTAAATAGAATATTTTCAAAAGAAGACGGAAGGAAGGCCAAGAGGCACATGAAAACATGCTCAAAGTCACTAATTATCCAAGAGATGCAAATCAATATCATACCTGTCAGAATAGCCAGCATCAACAAATCAACAAATGACAAGTGTTAGCGAGGTTGCAGAGAAACAGGAACCCTTGTGCACTGCTGGTGGGAATGCAGACTGGTGCAACCACTATGGAGAACAGTATGGAGTTTCATCAAAAAACTGAAAATGGAACTCCCATTTGACCCAGTAATCTCACTCCTAGGAATATATTCCAAGAAACTAGAAACACCAATCAGAAAGGATATATGAACCCCTATGTTCATAGCAGCACAATCTACAATAGCTAGAAACTGGTACATCTACACAATGAAATACTATGCTGCCATAAAAAAGAAGGAATTCTCATCATTTGCAGCAACTTGGATAGAATTAGAGAACATCATGCTGAGTGAAATAAGCCTGTCAATGAAAGAGAAATACCACATGACCTCACTAATTTATGGATATTAAAGAACATTATAAATTGATGAACCAAAAGACAGATATAAAGACAGTAAAGCAACAAGCAGACTGTCAAATTAAAGCGGGGAGGGTAGGGAGATCTGGGGGAGATAAGAGATCATCCGAAGGACTTGTATACATGCATATAAGTACAACCAATGGACACAAAACTCTGCGGAGGAAGGGTATGTATGGGGGGGGGGAGCAATGTTAAAATATGTACACAGATAATAATTTAATTTAAAAAATGCAAAAATAAATAAATAAATAAATTCCCCCCAAAAAAATAATAAAATAATTGTTGTAAACAATTCAGACATTTTCATGTTTTTGAATGTGGCTTTCCAATTTTCCTAGCACTCTTTATGGAGAAGCGTTCTCTTTTAATCATTGTATATTTTTGTGTTTTTTTTTATCTAAAATTATTTGCCATATACATGGTGTTATTTCCTGGCTCTCTGTTCTGTGTGTCTGTTTTGTCTGTTTGGCCAATGCCATGCTGTTTTTATGATTGCTGCTTTATAGTCTAGTTGAAGTCAGGGAATGTGATGCCTTCAGCTTCATTTGTTATTGTTATTGTTGTTGTTTCCCCACGCAGGATTGCTTTGACTATTTCAAGTTTTTTGTGGTTCCATACAAATTTGTTGATTTTCCAGATCTTGGCTTTTGTAAATAATTCTGCTATAAACAAAGGGGTGCATGTATCCTTTCTGATTGCTATTTCAGAACCTTAAGGATATTTACTCAAAAGAGGAATTGCTGGGTCAAAGGGCAGTTCCACATTTAACATTTTGAGGAAACTGCATATTGTTCTCCACAGTGGCTGCACCAGTCTGCATTCCCACCAACAGTGCACTAGATTTTCTCCACATGCTGTCCAGCACTAGTTGTTTGTTGACTTGTTAATATTAGTCCGTTTGGCAGGTTTAGTTTTAATTTGCATCTCCTTAATGATTAGTGACCTTAATCATTTTTTCACATATCTGTTGCCTATCTGTATTTCCTCTTTGGAGAAGTATCTATCCAGATCTTTAGCCCATTTTTTAAATTGAATTGTTTTTCTTTTATTAAGTTGTATGAGTTCCTTATACATTTTGAAAAGTATCCCCTTATCAGATAAATCATTGGCAAATATGTTTTCCCATGCAGTGGGCTTCCTTTACATTTTGTTGATACTTTATTTTCTGTGCAGAAGCTTTTTTTTTTATTTTTGGAGTCTCACTTGTTTATTTTTTCCTTTGTCCTAGAAGATGAACCAGCAAACATATTGCCACAGGAGATAACTGAATTTTTTTTGCCTATGGTTACTTCTAGGATTTCCATGGTTTTGTGACTTACATTTAAGCCTTTTATCCATTTTCAGTTTATTCTTGCCTGCCTGCCTCCCTTCCTCCCTCCCTTCCTTCCTTCCTTTATTCTTTCCTTCCTTCCTTTCATACCTGTCCA